ATCTTTATTTCTGCCTTTATTTTATGGTTGATCCAGTAGACATTCAGGAGCCAGTAGTTCAGCTCCCATGAAGTTGTGCAGCTCTGAGTTAGTTTCTTAGTCCTGAGTTGATTGCACTGTGGTCTGACAGACTATTTGTTATGATTTTCATTCTTTTGCATTTGCTGAGGAGTGATTTACTTTCAATTATGTGGTCAGTTTTAAATTAGATGTCATGTGGTGCTGAGAAAAATGTATATTCTGTGTATTTGGGGTGGAGAGTTCTGTAGATGTCTGTTAGGTCTGCTTGGTCCAGATCTGAGTCCAAGTCCTGGATATCCTTGTTAGTTTTCTGTCTTGTTGATCTGTCTAATATTGACTGTGGAGTGTTAAAGTCTCCCATTATTATTGTGTGGGAGTTGAATTATCTTTGTAGGTCATTAAGAACTTGCTTTATAAATCTGGGTGCTCCTGTATTGGGTGTGTATATATTTAGGATCGTTAGCTCTTCTTGTTGCATTGATCCTTTTACTGTTACTTAATGCCCTTCTTTGTCTCTTTTGATCTTTGTTGGTTTAACGTCTCTTTTATCAGAGACTAGGATTGCAACTCCTGCTTTTTTTTGCTCTCCATTTGCTTGATAAATCTTCCTCCATCCTTTTATTTTGAGCCTATGTGTGTCTTTGCATGTGAGATGGGTTTTCTGAATACAGCACACTGATGGGTCTTGACTTTTTATCCAATTTGCCAGTCTGTGTCTTTTGATTGGGGCATTTATCCCATTTACATTTAAGGTTAATATTGTCATGTGTGAATTTGATCCTGCCATTTTGAGGCTAGCTGATTTTTTTGTCCATTAGTTGATGCAGTTTCTTCATTATGTCGATGATCTTTACTATTTGGTATATTTTTGCAGTGTGTGGTACTGGCTGTTCCTTTCCATGTTTAGTGCTTCTTTCAGGAGCCCTTGTAAGGCAGGCCTGGTGGTGACAAACTCTCTCAGCAATTGCTTGTTCATAAAGGATTTTATTTCTCTTTTGTTTATGAAGCTTAGTTTGGCTGGATATGAAATTCTAAGTTGAAAGTTCTTTTCTTTAAGGATGTTGAATATTGGTCCTCACTCTCTTCTGGCTTGAAGGGTTTCTACTGAGACATCTGCTGTGAGTCTGATGGGCTTCCCTTTGTGGGTAACCTGACCTTTCTCTCTGCCTGCCCTTTTCATTTTTTCCTTCATTTCAACCCTGGTGAATCTGATGATTGTGTCTTTGGATTGCTCTTCTTGAGGAATATCTTTGTGGTGTTCTCTGTATTTCCTGGACTTGAATATTGGCCTGCCTTACTAGGTTGGGGAAGTTCTCCTGGATAATATCCTGAAGAGTGTTTTCCAGATCGGATTCATTCTCTCTGTCACATTCAGGTACACCACACCTATCAAACGTAAATTAGGTCTTTTCACATAATCCCATATTTCTTGGAGGCTTTGTTTATTTCTTGTCACCCTTTTTTCTCTAATATTGCCTTCTCATTTTATTTCATTGAGTTGATTGGCTATTGAAACTTGTGTATGCTTTGTGAAGTTCTCATGTTGTGGTTTGAGCTCCATTAAGTCATTATATTCTTCTCTAAGCAGTTTACTCTCATTAGCATTTTGTCACACTTTTTTTTCAAGGTTCTTAGTTTCTTTGCATTGAGTTAGAACATGTTCTTTTAGTTCAGAGAAATTTGTTATTACTCACCTTCTGAAGCCTGTTTCTGTCAATTGATCAGACTCATTCTCCATTCAGCCTTGTTCCTTTGCTGGTGATAAGCTGTGATCCCTTGGTGGAGGAGAGATGTTCTGGTTTTTGGTGTTTTCATCCTTTTTGCACTGGTTTCTTCCCATCTTAGTTGCTTTATCTACCTGTGGTCTTTGTAGTTGGTGACTTTTGGATGGGGTCTCTGAGTGGACATCCTTTTTGTTGATGTTGAAGTTTTCTGTTTTTAAATTTTTCTTCTAATAGTTCTCTCTAATGCAGGACTGCTGAAGGTTCACTCCAGATTCTGATTGCCTGGGGAAAAGTCTCTTTGCTGCAGGGGCTACAGAACAGTAAGGGTTGCTGCCAGTTTCTTCTTCTGTTATCTTTGTCCCAGAAGGGTTGCCACCAGATGTCAGCCAGAGGTCTCCTTTATGAGGTGTCTCTTTGGATATATGGGGGCAGGGAGCTGCTTGAGGAGACAGTCTGTCCCTTATGGGACATCAAGTGCTGTGCTGGGAGCTCTGTTGTTCTATTTAGAGCTGCTGGGAAGGCACGTTTAAGTGTGCTGCAGTGTGACTCATACCCATCTCTTCACCCAGGTGCTCTGTCCTTGGAAGGTGGGGCTTTATTTTTAAGTTCCTGAAGTGCTGCTGTCCCTTCTCAGAGAGGTTCTCCCCAGCAAGGAGGGAGTCTAGTCACAGTCTGACAGCAGAGGTGTTGCTGAGCTGCCGCAGGCTCTGCCCAGCTGCTGTGTAAATTTCCTTGTGGTTTTGTTTACAGAAGTACAGTTAGAACTTCCTCAGTAATGGTAGTCTGCTTCAGTAATGGCAGACTGCTTCGGTAATGGTGGACTTCCTTGGTAATGATGGACTGCCTCAGTAATGGTGGACTGCCTTCATAATGGTGGACTGTCTCGGTAATGGCAGTCACCCTTCCCCTCACCGAGCTGGACCATCACTGCACTTGCTGCAAAACTCTCAATCCAGAGCGTTTCAGATTTCTGGTCTTTGTGGTGGTGATACCTGCCCAGCCAGATCACCTGGATCCCTGTTTCAGCCCCCTCTTTATCAGTTGAATGGGCGGCTCTGTCTCCCAGGCATTCCAGGTGCCAGTTGAAATGGCCACCCAGATTTGTGTGAGTTTTTGTGTGGAGACCCATGGTGCTGGCTGAAACAACTGTGCTGGAAACTCGTGGTACTTTTCAGTCCAGGAATCTCTTGGTCTGTGGGCAGTAAAAACTCATTTGGAAATATGGTGATCACTCACACTCTGCGTTGTTCTTACTTGGATCTGCACTACAGAGCTGTTCCTATTTGGCCATCTTCTTAACTATTTTCTGAAGTTCGCAAAGGTAGTTTGGTTCACATATTGTTGTCATTGTCTTAATGGGGAAACTAGGGCATTCGGTTTCTATTCTACCATCTTACTGACATCAGTAGATCATGTACTTTTAAAAAATACTTTCAACTTTTATCTTAGATTTAGGAAGTACATGGTTGTGTTTGTTGTTTGAGTATATTGTGCAATGCTGAGGTTTGGGGTAGAATTGATTCTGTCACCCAGATACTTAGCATAGTACCCAATAGTTGGTTTTTCAACCATTGCCCCACTCCATTCCTCCTCCCTTCCTTCTCTACTAGTCCCCAGTATCTATTTTTGCTACATTTATATCCATGAGTACTCAATATTTAGCTCTCACTTCTTATAAGTGAGAAGATGTAGTATTTGGTTTTCTTTTTCTGCGTTAATTCACTTAGGATAATGGCCTCCAGTTGAATCCATGTGGCTGCAAAGAACACAATTTAAATCATTGTAATGACTATGTAGTATTCCATTTTGTATATATATTACATTTTCTTTATCCAATTCACCATTGATGAGCACCTAGGTTGATTCCATGTTTTTACTATTGCAAATGCTATTGCAATGAACATATGAGCACATACTTTTTCTGGTCAAATTATTTATTTTCTGCTAAATATATACCGAGTAATGGGATTTCTGGGTTGAATAGCACTTCTGTTTTATGTTTTTTGAGAAATCTTCAAATTGCTTTCCATGGAGGCTGAACTAATTTACATTCCCACCAGGAGTGTATATAAGTGTTTCATTTTCTCACTAGCCTCTCAAGCATCTGTTGTTTTTGACTTTAAAGGAATAGCCATTCTGACTGCTGTGAGATTATATCACAGTGCTTTTGTTTGCATTTCTCTGATGACTAGAGATGTGCATTTTTTCATATGTTTGTTGCCTGCTTATATGTCTTCTTTTGAGAAGTGTCTGCTTATATCTTTTGCCCATTTTTTAATGGGGCTGTTTCTTGTTTGTTCAGTTGTTTAAACTCCTTATAGATTCTTGATATTAGATCTTTGTTGGACGTATAGTTTGTGAATATTTTGTCCTATTCTGTAGGTGGTCTGTTTGCTCCGTTGATAGTTTCTTTTGCTAAGATGCACTTTAGTTTAATTAGGTCCCACTTGAGAATTTTTGTTTTTGTTGCAATTGCTTTTGAGGACTTAGTCATAAATTATTTCCTAAGGCTCATGTCCAGAATGGTAGTTCCTAGGGTTTCTTCTAGGATTCTTATATTTGAGGTCATATATTTAAACTTTTAATCCATTTTGGGTTAATTTTTGTTATGATGAAAGCTAGGGATTCAGTTACATTCTTCTGCATATGATTACCCAGCTATCCAGCCCCATTTATTAAATAGGGAGTCCTTTCTGTATAGCTTGCTATTGTCAACTTTGTCAAAGATCAGATGGCTACAGGTATTTGGCTTGATTTCTAGGATCTCTGCCTTTTGTTCTATTCAGGCCCTCAACAGATTGGTTGATGAATACCCACACTGGGGAGGACAATCTACTACTGAGCTTACCAATTCAAATGCTAATCTCATCTGAAAACACCCTTACTTTCATCTGGTCACCCTTTGGTCCAGTCAGGTTGATGCATAGAATTAATCATTACCCCATCTGAACATATACAATTTTAAAAAAAGATTGAAAACACAGAAAATAAATTTATGTAATTTTAAAGACAATTCTGTTTCTTGGTAAAGAAAAGAATGAAATTCTGAGATGGGAACTCATGTATTAGGACTGTCTCTTCCCTGTAATGATGTTGGTGTTTTAGGCCTGTACTCTTGGTCAGCAGGCCATCATGTGACTACTCCTCACACCTTGTGTTTTCATCTAAAGAGTAACTCTGAAGGCTATAAGGAATCTTTACTCTGTTCAATCTGGAAATACCAAAGTCTTTGACTCCTTTTTTTCCTTCATGCAGAATTTCATTGTCCAACAGCTGAATGAGTCACTTTCTTATTTTCTGGGGCTTTCAGACCCACAAGGTAATAATAATTGGCAATGGATTGATAAGACACCTTTTGAGAAAAATGTCAGGTGAGTGCACAACTGGGGCCTTGTTTACACAGAATGGGGAAATTTTGTTAGGAGTGACTAATAATGTTAATACTGATAATTATGATGATGACAGGATCTAATAATTATTAAGCATTACTAAGGATATGCATTATATCACTTAAACTTCATGCAAACTTCTCTTTTTCTGAACTAGTTTTACACATGAAAAACTAAATAACTTGCCCCAAATCAATAAATTATTATGATGAGAAACTGGATTTCAACCCCATGTCTATCTGACTCCAGAGGTGGTGCTCTAAACTATTGCATTTTTCTGACTTTAAATACAAGTAGACACTTAAACTGATCTCTAAATAATAAAATTTAAAATATCTCATCAGAACTATGTACAATTTTATGTAATAATATTATTTACTTGTGGCTTTAAAAAAGAATTCAATTATACGTTATCTTATTTGATTCTTCCAATATCTTGTGAATTACTTAGAGGCCTTATTATAATTCCCATTTTTAAAGATGAGGAATCTAATACGTGGGGATATTGAATTACTTGCCCAAGATAAAAATAAGTGTTTCAAAACCAGGTCTTGTAATTCCAAAAGTTATGTGCAATCTCCCAGTCTTTACCCAGAATGTATTCCCTGGAGGCAGGGTAACTTTTACATCCAGACTCAGGCACCCAAACATTCACTTAAGGCAGATCCATGAGAATAAAGACACTTAGGAAGGTGATTAGAATACACACATGTAAGGAGATAGTCTCTTTATTACATGTCAGTAAGAAGGAAATTATTTAATAACCCCAGTCAGGATAAAGGGTCTGTAAAAAGGAAAAAGATTGCTGCAGAAAGACCTAAGAATAAACCATCTCTAAAATTTTTGCCAGGATAATGTTAAAGAAGCAAGTTTAAAAGTGTGTGTCCATGTGCACACGAATGTTCATAACAGCACTGTTTACAATAGCAAAGACCTGGAACCAACCCAAATGCCCATCGATGATAGACTGGACAGGGAAAATGTGGCACATCTACACCATGGAATACTATGGAACCATCAAAAATGATGAGTTCATGTCCTTTGTAGGGACATAGATGAACCTGGAAACCATCATTCTCAGCAAACTGACACAAGAGCAGAAAATCAAACACCGCATGTTCTCACTCATAGGCGGGTGTTGAACAATGAAAACACATGGACACAGGGAGGGGAGCACCACACACTGGGGTCTGTTGGGGGGAATAGGGGAGGAACGGCGGGGTGGGGAGGTGGGGAGGGATAGCATGGGGAGAAATGCCAGATACAGGTGATGGGGAGGAAGACAGCAAATCACACTGCCACGTGTGTACCTATGCAACAATCTTGCATGTTCTTCACATGTACCCCAAAACCTAAAATGCAATTAAAAAAAAAAGCATGTGTCCATACTTGAAGATTTGAGGAGGGCAGTATGAAAAGAAGGAACAATCATTGGAATATTCTCTCTTCATAAATCCCACTCTGCTCACCCCAAACTTACAGACTTTCTAATCATTCATCATGCATTCATTGAAGATGTGTATCTACCTTTTTGTTTTCCTTTAGATTTTGGCACGCAAATGAACCCAATCATTCTGAAGAGCAATGTGGTTCAATAGTCTTCTGGAAACCTAAAGGATGGGGATGGAATGATGTTCTCTGTGAAACTAGAAGAAATTCAATATGTGAGATGAATAAGATTTATCTATGAGTGGAACTTCTTTCACTGACATTTTAAAAACTGAAACCTATCATGAAATGATAATTTCTTCCTGTAATTTACACATAATCCTTATGTTATAAAGGTTCATAGAAATGGAAAGATACCTGTCTCCCTATAATCAATCTTCTTCTAGTTTCCTCTTTTCCACTAATGATAGAATGAGCTCTTCCTCTCTTTCTTCTTTCACTTGTTATTCATTTTGTTCTTTCTTCATACTTCATTACACAGACATTAATTGTTTCAGAGACTGTACTGTTTTGTTTGTTAGAAGATTTTTAAGGCAGTATCTTTTGAAAATGACGACCTTTCTTCCTCAAAATACCGTAAAGAAATCTTTTTGGTTGAGAACTGCAATCATCTGAAGGCCTGACAAGAGTTGAAAGATCTGTTTTCTAGATGGCTCACTTGCATGGCTGGCAACTTGGTGTTGGCCATTGCTAGGAGGTCAATATCTCACCATGTGGAACTCTCTGGAGGGCTAACTGAATCTCCTTACAATAGAGTGGCCAGCTGCCATTGGAACAAGTGATCCAAAAAAACAAGTGAAAGTAATGTCTTTAATTAATTAGACTCAGCAGTTATGGACCATGACTTTTGCTGTACCCCATTGGTCACATAAAACAGATCTGATATAATAAATAACGGGGCTACCCAAAGGCATGAATACCAGAATGTGAGAATCACCGAGGGCCATCTTGTAGGCTGACTATCACAGCAAAATTTCTTTAAAAAGATGCCAAAAAAAAAGTGTAGTAAAAATTAAATTAATTAAAAAATCTCCTACACTAAAATTATGGACTTCTGTTCATCAAAACATTATTAAGAAGATTCAAATTAAAATGACTGGAGGAAGATATTTTAAACACTTATAACTGACACAATATTAATGCCAAACATATATAAACATCTATTACGAATCAGTTAGAAGAACACAAAAAATGAGCAAAATATTTGAACAAGCACTTTATAGATGGGGAAATACAGACAATAATCATGTTTTTATAGAGATGCTCAGCTTCGTTCATAATGTAATAACTGCAAGTCAAGACAATAAGACATCATTTTATGTCAATTTTTATGGTAAAATTAAAAAATATAATTCCAAAAGTTGGAGGAAATATAAATCAATAAGACTACTTACACATTACTGATTTGTGTTTAACTTTGTACAACTGCTTTGGAAAGTACATAAATATACATTTTCCTTACATAAATGCCATCCAAAAAGATGCTGTATTGAGAGAGATTCAAGATCTATGACATATGGGTATTAAAATGGAGAAGTGTTCTAAGATTCTAGGTTTTTTATTGGGCAGTAAAGTTAACATAAATATCCAACAACGACAACAACAAAAATAAAATGAAACAAGAGTATAAAGAGGATAGCATAGGATGAATCTAAAATTATGATCAGGTCGGGCATGGTGGCTCATGCCTGTAATCCCAGCACTTTGGGAGGTTGAGTAGGGTGGATCACCTGAGGTCGGGAGTTTGAGACCAGCCTGGCCAAGATGGCAAAACCCCTTCTCTACTAAAAATACAAAAAATAACCAGGCATGGTTGCATGCACCTGTAATCCCAACTACTTGGGAGGCTGAGGCAGGAGAATTACTTGAATCCAGGAGGTGGAGGTTGCAGTGAGCTGAGATCGTGCCATTGCACTCTAGCTTGGGAGACAAGAGCAAAACTTTGTCTCAAAAAATAATAATAATAATAATGATTAGTATGCTATTGTGCAAAGTGCAAATATGAAAAATAATCCATTGGGGGTTAGATTAGTGCAAGTTTGGGGTTCTTGACTGATAGCTTTGAGTTCAAGATTATAATGAAATTGTGCTCCCGGGATCCAGAAGATGTTGTCTTTGTCTTCATGCCACCATTACTGTAATGAAGCTGGTAGCTAGACATGAGATACTCCATCTAACTGTAACAAGTACATCTGGAAAGTCGCCATTTATGATCTTGATCATCAGGCAGAAACATGAGCAAGAAATTAGCTCTTGCTTTGTTTTTACCTCCCACATCTCATGCTATTGAATTTAATTGGCTCCAAATTTGCATCAATAAGGTAATTGAAAAAGAGTCTTAAAAATGTTGTTCATGGCTTTCCCGACTTTGAAGCACTGGTAGGCCCAATGAAGAACGTGGGAATGGATGTGAGTGCTGGTTGACTAGATCCAGTATGGTTGTGCCATGGCGTTCTTTAAATATAGTTATATTTGACCTAAACATCACTATTCCTAAATGAGATGGTGCATACTTTTCCTTTTGGTGCTATCCTAGTTTGGAATCCATTTATGCTAGCTTCATAAAAAATGAGTCAGAATGTTTTTCATTTTTCATTCTCTGAACAATTTGGTTAAATTTGCCTGTAATGTAAGTGTATATTTCTTAGAACTGTTAAATTTATCTGTAAATTTCTCTGGACTTGCTCTCTATTTAAGACTACTTTTTTGACCATATTTTTCTTTTCTTTTGTGATTTTGAGACTTAGGATTTCTAACCCTTCTTAGTTAATTTAGGTTTTTTTTTTTTTTTTTTAGAAAATCATCTATTTAATATAAAATTTAATTTGTTAACTTGATCTGTGAATAGTGTATGTATATAATTCTAATCTACCCTTGCATCTAAAAAATGTGTAACATTTTTAGTTTTAATTAATTTTGCATGTATCTTTCTTCTTTTAACTTGATCAAGCTTGTCAAAGTTATATTAAATGTCCTTTAAAAAAGAAAGTCAGCTTTCCTGATGGTATGTACTTTTATTCTATTTAATTAATGACTGTTTTTGTTATTAATTGATCCTTCACTCTTTGAATTTATTTTAATCTTATCTAGTTTCTTAAATTAATATAAAGGAATTCATTGATCTTCAGTCTTTTCTTTTCAAATAAAACATTAAAGGCTATATTTTTACTTTGGGTATTATTTTAACCCATCAGGAATTTTAAATTTTAATGGTCTCATTATTTCTCATTTTTACATAGTAATAATTGTGGGAAGGACTTTTTCTTGGTCTTGGAGTGATTTAGTATAGTGTTTTAAAATTTTTATGAGACTAGATCAGTTTTAGCTTCTATCTTGCAAATTTCTTACTACATTTTGTTTAAAGAATGCAACATATGCATCCTATAATACTTTTAAGTGTTTATTATATTTTCTTTGTGGCCTTGAATTAATTCAGACAAGAAAAGCTAAACTGTGTTAGAAAATTAGTGAGGCTAACGGGTTAGGCTGATTTAGGACTGCTTTCATTCTGGTTTATTACATAACAAGAAAACAAAACATACAATGAGGAAACCTCCTCCTCAGTGGAGAGAATTCACATGTATTAACAAGTATCCTCACACTCTGAGTCTGTTCTGAGAGGCATAACCTCATACCTCCTTCCCAAACATGCTTGTTATTAATTCAGCAACATTGTTCTTTCCAAGTCCCTGAACAGCCAGCCAAGCCATCAGGCACTGACTGTGAATTGATACATGTCTTTATCCCAAACCATCTTTCCTTCTAGGCAAAGTTAACCATCAGATGCACAGTCTGAAGTTACTTCCATTGAGAAGGTTTCCATTTTTTACAAGCTTCCTGAGCTAGTTATGAGTAGAGCTGTAACTTTCAACTGTCTTCCTCTAGTGAGTGCCAAATAATGAGCACAACCATATGAAAACAAAACTTTTTTTCCTTCTGAGATAAGTAGTCATAGAGGGCTCCCTAGGGGGTCATAGGTGAGGATTTAGGGAGAAGTAACATTACGGCAGAAATAAGCACACTGAGATTGTGAATCAATGTGTTTTGAAGCCAATTAATATCCAATCATATTTAAAATGCTCAAAAATTTCCCATGATACATCAGCTAACACAGTTTATGAAGGTCTTCCATGGTGATCTGGTTTGTTTCTGTGTCCCTGTCCAAATCTTATCTTGAACTGTAATTCCCATGTGTCAGAGGAGGGGCCTCATGGGAAATGATTGACTCATGGGGAAAGACTTCCCTTTTTATGATAGAGTTCTCACAAGATCTGGTTGTTTGATAAGTGTGTAGCTCTTCTTCCTTATCTTGCTCTCTCCTGCCACCATGGTAGGATGTACTAGCTCTCCCTTTGCCTTCTGCCATGACTGTAAGCTTCCCAATGCCTCCCACTCACGCTTCCTTCAGTCTGCAGAACTGTGAGTCAAACCTCTTTTCTTCAATTACTCATTCTCAGGTAGTTCTTTTTTTTTTTTTTTTTTTTTTTTTTTTTTTTTTTGAGATGGAGTTTCACTCTTGTTACCCAGGCTGGAGTGCAATGGCGCGATCTCGGCTCACTGCAACCTCCGCCTCCTGGGTTCAGGCAATTCTCCTGCCTCAGCCTCCTGAGTAGCCGGGATTACAGGCATGTGCCACCATGCCCAGCTAATGTTTTGTATTTTTAGTAGAGACGGGGTTTCACCACTTTGACCAGGATGGTCTCGATCTCTTGACCTCGTGATCCACCCGCCTCGGCCTCCCAAAGTGCTGGGATTACAGGCTTGAGCCACCGTGCCTGGCATCAGGTAGTTCTTTATAGCAACTGTGAAAACGGATGAATACAGAAAATTGGCACCATGAGAGTGGAACACTGCTATAAAGATACCCTACATGAAATTCCACATGAAAATGTGGAAGTGACTTTGGAACTCGGTAACTGGCAGAGGTTGGAACAGTTTGGAGGGCTTGGAAGAGGACAGGAAGATGTGGGAAAGCTTGGAACTTCCAAGAGATTTGTCAAATGGTTTTGACCAAAGTGCTGATGGTGATATGGACAATAAAGTCCAGGCTGAGGGGCTCACAGATGGCAATGAGAAACTTGTTGGGTAGTGGAGTAAATGTCACTCTTGCTATGCTTTAACAAAGAGACTGGTGGCATTTTGCCTTAGAGATCTGTGGAACTTTGAACTTGAGAGAGATGATTTAGGATATCTGGCAGAAGAAATTTCTAAACAGCAAAGCATTTAAGATGTGACCTGGCTCTTTCTAAAACTGTATATTGATATGTGTGAACAATGAGATGATCTGAAACTGCAACTTATATTTAGAAGGGAAGCAGAGCACAAAAGCTTGGAAACTTTGCAGCCCAGCCATGCAGTAGAAAAGAAAAACCCACTTTTTGGGAGAAAGTCAAGCCTGCTGCAGAAATTTGTGTAAGTAAAGAGGAACTGGAGTCAAATGTTAATGGGAAAAATGTCTTCAGGTCATTTGAGAGATTTTCTTGGTAGTACCTCCCATCACAGTCTTGGAGTCCTAGGAAGGATAAGTGGTTTCATGGGCTGGGCCCAGGGCCCTGCTGCTCTGTGCAGCCTCAGGACCAGGCCCCTTGCATCCCAGTTGATCCATCTCTAGCCATGGCTAACAGGGTCAAGGTTTAATTCAGGCCATTGCTTCAGAGGGTGCAAGTCCCAAGCCTTGGTGACT